CATATTCCTTTACTCTCTTGCAGCGTGCCACTGATTACATGAAGCGTTTCGTGCTATAGGCGTCGCTTTTTTCATTCCGCGACGCGCTCAGTTTAACGGGGGCACGGTGGCGGTGAAGTGTATGCGACTCGCTGCGCCCTGATTAAAAAGGTAAAGCATATCTTGTCTCAGTGGCAAACCGGTGCCAAACACGCCATTAATTCTATTTTGTGCTCATTCATTTTAGTTGAAGCGTACCATGTGATAGTGAAACACGAACGAGGGCATCGAAAACGAAAAGGCGTTGAGCCTAAAGAGTGCTCCAGTTTATTAACATATTATAACAAAATACAGGCAGATTACCTTGCACTACCAACGCCCACTACCTACGGCGCTTACGTAGACACTGATGCCGGAATTTCTGCGAAAGGCGTTTTTAACACTAGCGCATTAAACGAAACGTTCGGCTGCACTGCGTTGTCTGTAGAGCGGCCACGTACACTTCACCGTCACCGTGCCCCATATAACAATTATATCGACACTCTTCGCTGGACTTTGCCCTCGACGTCGGCGTCGCCGTCACTCACCATATATGTATACGTGTATATACATATGAGAACGCAAGAAAAAAAAATCCTGAAAAAGACTCCGGCGCGCGGAATATAACGTGGAACCTCCGAGTCGTGAATGCGAGGCGTTCACCAGTGAGCCCCATCGAGAAACACGTACTTGAACGTTCAAACGGCAAGTTATTTTTTTCTACCACTTACCGCTGGTGATAAGAATCTCGAGGAGTGGGTAACTATCGCGTTTCAGCTTTACCACGAAGATGGCGCAATGAGCGCGTGGCGGCACTCGTCTCGGAGGGGGAGGGGGGGGGACTATCACATTTTCGGCATTACCAGCGAGATGGCGCAATGAGTGTGCGGCGGCACGCGTTCTCAACTCCCACATAGTGGAGAAATGGGAGAAGGTTCACGCTCGCTCGCGCGCTCTTATTTCGCGGTGGGGGTGGTCTTGGCTGGCGTTGGGCTTTCCCTAGAACGTTTCTGTTGTAGTTACCGGGCGCACAAAGGTCGCTGCAATTGTTGCACAGTCTCCGTTTGCGGAAAAGGCGCGTTTTTCCGACACAGCGAAGTAACAACTGAGACGCTTATTCGCGTTCATCTGTACCTGTGAGTACGTTTCTTGCATCATTTGTGCGCGAGAAACGCGGGGCACGTTTTTATCTGCTTGCCATTCTCCGCGTGACCTTCCAATTTGTTGCTGTCGCATTCATTCCTTCGCCTTTGCGGCAAAGCTGGGACTGTATTTACTAGCGACTGCAGTAAGCGGGCATGTTGGTACTAAAAAGTTAATAACTGATGGGGTTTAACGTCCCAAAAGCCCAATATGATTATGAGAGACGCCGTAGTGGAGCACGGCGGAATTTTTAATCCCTTGGGGTCCTTAAAGTGCACCTTAATCTAAGTAGCGAACCTCGAGCATTTTTGTAAATTAAAATGTTGTAGGCAATCGCGTTTCTACGAAGTTCCAGTCCTAAAAATTCTAACATGCCTGCGCTCCGAGATATGCCGCTGCAAAGTTTATTGCGGTTTGCATAATTACCCCCCCCCCCTGATGTACCGCGGCACTTGCATGCAGCGTTTAGTCTGACAAATCATCGAAGGCATAGACAAAGATAATGACGGTTACATTTTACCATAGTTGGCGAGAGAAAGCGGACTTCGTCACATGCATCAGAAAAGAACACTGCACCGATCCTCACTGCTGTGTTTGCGCGCAATAACGCAAACCACAACAAAACTTTGCAGTGTGATACCTCGAAGCGGAGACATGCTAGGATATAATCCTTCCTAGTAAAACGCGATCTTTCTTAGAAACGCGACTGCCTCCATCTTCTCCATAGAAACATTCCCACTAGCTGTAGTCACTAAAAATGCCTTTATTCAATATAGGATAATTGGGCAGCTGACAGTGATTCACTTTGTACACCCCAGATACATAACTGGTCTGCAAAGACAATTCTCACATTCTTCCCAAAACTGAATTTTAAGAAAGACATAAAGCCTAAATAATTATGAACACCCAGTATATGACACACTAAGTGGGGTGTCTTCATCACTGCCTTCAGAGACGTGGAGCAAGCACTCTACAGCAAAGCCATATAGTGGGCGCTCCGAGTACTAGCATGGCTACGACAACGGACATGGGACAAGCACTTACCATAAGCTGCTTCGCAACTAAAAATTCATAAAGCGGGTGTAGTTGCTCGAGCCGACGTTTAAACAAGTGGGCTTCAACGCTGAAACTGAAGAAGCGTTGAAGCCTTGAAGACAATCCACTTGCTAAAATTTCGTCTAGAGCACACACACAGTTTACTATTTTCCATGCTTTCACAAGTGTAATACAACCTCTACATCTTGCATGCCTAGAGACCATGAACATTTATATAATTAGTTGCTTTATACCAGTTTCATAATTCCATCAGATTATAGTTTGCTTTATGCCAGGCAGTGCTCAACGGTTGCATAAATACTAAGGTACTTAGAAAACAAGTATATATAGTTTCTTTCCTCTAATTTTCATTCCTAAAATGTCACAGTTTTGCCACAAAGTCGATGCAATGAATGTCATAAAAACAAATGATAACATTATAAGAAGTGAGGCTAGCAGCCAACTCCTTTGGCATCTGACCTGCCACTATTCAACAAAATGCTGATGCAAGAAAACAAGGCAGCTGCACTGAGCCAGCGCCTCCTATAAGCGACCTTCATGCTGTCCATCCATTCTTCGCAAACTGAGAGGGGGAAGCACATGCAAAGGTACGAGCCATCTACCAATTCTTGCCAAGATTAGGCAGGTGCGATCATGCGCCCCCTCCCGGTCAAAGTACACAGCTCTTGCAGAAGCCACTGAGCCTTGCCCCTACGAGAACCCCACGAGCCTGTCACACGACCAGAGACTTCGCCGGACAAGTTCCTTATCCACTGGAGCCGCAATCATTGGCTGTGGTCGAGCGCTCTCACTCGCACATTGAACATATAACACATGGGGCCCATGTTATTACCCTTAACCATTATACAGAACCTCACGGCAACGCTGATGGCAAAAATGAGCCTGGAGTAACCACATAATTGCTGTTGCAATAAAGACATTGCTCATGTTGTAACTCACTCCTGAAAAGCCTGCAGAGTGCAAACGTGCACATATTACACTTGAAAGGAGTCATTTATATCTCATAGTAAAGGGACCAGGCAGCAGTACTGCTCCTCTGGTGCAACCAGTTAGTAAGTGCTTGGCACGGTATGTTTTATAATGTAACAATGTGTAAGAATACATACATAATTCCCGACTTGCAGACATAACATAGCACAGTCAGTCCCATGTTTCAGCAGACATGTTTTTTGTCCAGTGGTTGCCTTTCCATTGCGAAATTGCCAGTGTACTTTCAGTAAGTAATTCAACCTAAAGAACAACGAGATTCCCCTGTCTGCGTGAGCACCTGTTCTTCAAAAATTGTCCAATACTGAAACATGTTGGGCCTGACAAATGCTAGAATGTGTAAGAAAATGGGCATAGTGAAGCCAGCTGTGTGCACAAAAAAAAAGAAGCAGAAGAAAGTTAGTAATTGTCCATCACGAACTTAACCAATGTAGAATCAAAGAAAACCAGCAATGTATACCAGATTGACATGCCATTTTTGCTGCTTGGCAAGTGCGAGATAATACTTCATAGCAAGACTAAAGCTAAAAAAGGCAGAATTGAGCTAAATGATGTAGAATAAACGCGACTCCTCATTAATGTTTTCAAACAACTTACTTAAACTGGCAGGCACAGCCATCTTGAGATACAAAATTTCATCTTCGCAAGCAGCAGTGTCAAGCAAACCAATTTTAAGATTTCTCAGTACGAAGCTTTTAAAGGCACAGTAAAGAGCAAAACAATTTTCCACGTATTGGTAAAGTACGATTTCATAATCCTGTAAACACCGCTCTTAGCACAACATGAAGCTTAGCAAGCGAGAAAACACTTAAAAAGAAAACGTGGGTCACGATGCCACCTTGAAATCCCTGCACCAAACACCATGACATAGCAAATTTTGAAGGCGTCCACTGGATCCTACGTAGCTTCAATCGATAAAAATTAAATACATTGTGATCTGTGGGTGCCACAGACTCAGCATACGAAGTTTAAAAAATTTTCATTGAGCTAATGCCACGAAAATACTGAAAATATATTTTGAAATTTCTTGCATTGTGCACAAAGATTTTGGCACGAAATTTACAAATAAAATCACAAATTAATGTTCTCTGATAATAATGAACTTATAATAGGTAAATATCATAAGAGTTCTCAGAGCATTAAAGTTCTCAGAGAGCAATTCTTCAACATAAACCAAGTCATTGTTCCTCTTTAGTGTCCCTTTAAAAAACATCACATGTGGGCTCATACAGGCATTTCCTTTTAAAAAGAGAAAGTGATGCACTTAATCTGTAATGACAGCGTCTGATAAAGAAATGTGCATCATTTAATGGTAGGCAGGAGTCTGTTAGCCTTGCCAATTTGTTGTCCGTTTTGAGATTCAACACTTGTTGCTCTGTGGTATTCATATTGTGAAGGAGTGTGGCAATATACACATTCCAAAGTACCAACTATGCATATACTACTTGTTCCTACTAAATAAAAATTGCAACATCAATCTGTCTTTTCTTGCTTGATTGTTTGCTAGACCTTCACCCAACTTCTTAAGTGTTTGCACCCTGTAGATTAATAAAGTGGTGCCATTTAATATTCTAAAAAGTAACACACTAACCATCATAGATTCTGAGGTAAGATCCAGATTAACTTTGTTTACCCTGGGTAGTTTTCTGGGTATTCAAAGCTTGCCATACTAAAATGCCGAAAATGAGCTCTTTGAACTGACATCTTAATTTATTGCTATATGGCACATGTCAGGCACTGAAACGCTTTCTTCCTTATTGGATGTGGGTTATGCAAGTATTGAAGCATGCAGACACTTTTTTACCAACGTTTCACTTTGTCAAAGCAAAATCTGTTTAATAAAAACAACAGAGCAACCAACATAACATTTTTAATACACCTCCCTTACCACTTGGTCAAATATCTTATTATGACTGCAGAAGGAACTCAGGGTCTGCCAAAATCATCTAATAAAATTTTACAAGTCAACAATGAGTGGCAGACTCACAGAACACTATGCATGCGCTGAAATAGTACTCCTGTTTTTAACATGTCAAGGAGAAGCAGGTACTGAAAATAGCTTTGCTCGCCAAGCAAGCACAGCTTGTTACAACACATTGGAGTTGCTGATGGCGTTTTACTCCCACAGATGTGTGTCTTGACTGCAGTTGAAGTCACATATGCATCCATGCACATAGATAAACATCTACACAAAAACAGACAAATAAAATTTGTCATTTGAAAACTTGGTATCACTAGCAGAAATTAAACTTTGAATGCCTGAATGGCTGCATTTGAAGCTATTTTCTGATCTATAAATGATAAGCATGCCAATAAAGCACAACCTTCAATGCGACTGATAATATGACATGCTAGTAAATGTCTGAAAACACTTTGCATTTTCAATAAAAAGCAAAGCTGTATAATATTGCTGCAATGCAAAAGGGTTTTCAGGATATGTAGACAGCAAAACAATTGACAATTATATGTTTAGACACCCTTATATGCACTTTATAGGAAAATAAGTTCAAACTGACTGTTTCATACTAACAGAAAGCCAAGTGGGCTTTTGCCAGACATTCATGTTCACATTAAATCAAAGACAGTCTACATTGTTGGAGTAAGAAGGTTGAAAATGTAATTAGACGTATATAGTACTACACATGATTTTTATGAAAAACTGAAACATCAAGAAGAAAAAAGCTACACTGTTAGCATAAGCTCAGACCCACAGCTGCTGGTCAAGGCCACCGAGCAAGGATACCCCAAGTCAGCACAGTTCTCTGCTGCGAAGTTTTATATTAAAGAGGTGCAACATTATTTAAAAAAAACACCCAATCGAAAAAGGAGGAGCCAATATTACACATAAGCAAAAACAGTGGTCCTTGCAGGTTATATCACAGTTTCAAATGTACAGGCATCTACTTGAAAGTGTACCAGCACTTTGAAATTGGGCTGATTCATCACAAAATACGATTTCGCTCACCCCTGGAGTAAGTCCAGCTGCCCAATCACACCAGCTAGTGCTTTGGGAGCACACCTGAGCAGTTTCTAAATAGAAGATCACAATACAACAAAACATTGCATGAATACGTCTGTACTAGGCCTGTGACTTTCTTACGTGTGCCACCAGTAATTGAAAAAAAAAAAAAAAGAATTCGTCGCTCACTCTGTGGCATTTTGCTGTGAAACAAGCCCAATGAAAAGTGAGCTGTCCGCCCACGCATATGTACATAAAAAAATACAAAAAAGCATGCTTTTATAATAATATGCCTATATACCATATTTACTCGTGTAATCCTCACACTCGCATAATTCTGACACTCCTCCCACATTTCCCAACAAAAATAGGATATTTTTTTCCCACAAGTAATTATTACACCCTTGAAAGTTGGAGCTGTAATGTTGTCTGCTCCTTTCAACCCCTGGTGATGATAGCGCACAACAAATGGGTGCCATCTCTGGTGGATTATGTGTAATATTAATGCACAGAGCCTCAACAGAATCCAAGCCAAAGTGGCAATTGCGCGTTGTAGCGTATTAGTGTACGTCCGTTCTGTGGTTACGCTATGGGGCGATACGGAACCTACACGGTTGCTTTCAAGTTGAAAGTGATTGATCATGCACTAAACAACGGCAACAGGGCCGCCGCCGGTAGGCTATCTGGAGTCGGTGAGTTTTGTGTGTGCTATCAGCAAAGGCAGCATGGGCAGCTGAAAACCACTGAGATCCGCTGTGCCTTCTGTGTGCCTAGGACTGGAATGGATCCTAAAACTATTTCTTCGGAATGTAACTGCAGACCATTCCGTGTTAAATTGCCGTCGTACGCTAAACTCTCACAGCCTCCAGTTGAGTGACGAACACCAACGGTACACCCGCAATGCCCGCAGACTTTGCGTACAGTATTCCAAAACTTGGTACTATTTGCTTGCAGCTTTTGTGTCACAAATAAATCTTTCCTTCTGTTTACCCTGTGGTTTTATTGTTAAGGTAAGTCTTGATTAGTACTTCTCAAAGCTTGCAGTTAGTTGTTGGCATGAGAATCCCAATTTGCGGCCATTTCGTTTTTTTCCCCCCCCGCTTTGTACATTTTTGAGAAAAATTTTCCTCACATGATTCTCGCACCCCCAACATTTCATCGGTTTTCCGCGAAAAAAAAGTACAAGGACTATGCGAGTAAATATGGTAGTACCTTTGTTTAAGGTTATAAGGAAAACCCCAGAGAGACTCTAAAACTTTGAGCAATTCCCCCTTAGCAACAGTTAGAAAAAAAGGGGGAATTTAGTCCAGTTAAAATACTCAAATTAAGCTCAGCTATAGTCTGGCAGTTTCATGGCCTACACACAGGAGCCAAATAACAACACTACCTTTAATATGAATCTCAAAGAGGCAAACTATCATGCAATAACATCAGCTACTTAAAACTTAGAATCAACCATATATTTAATCAAAATTCTCATGATTAGAGGCTAGGTATCCACAAGGCTCTGAGTAACTATCATTTTATCCAGCACCACTATACAATACAAAAATCAGTTATGTTCATGTGGAAACTCAAAAATAACTGAATTGTTCAAAAAGGCAAGGCTTCAGGTTAACATAGGGCAATGAAATCGCACTATGAAGACAGTATGTCTTGTTCTATATATATGCTTCATGTAAACCACAATAGGTGTTTACCAGAAAGGTGGTAAAAGATCCAGTGTCATAGAATAATGCTGTGACAAGAAAATGTTCATAAATTGTGAAATAAATCTCATGTGGCACTAATGAAAGTACAACCTACCTATCCTAAAAATCACCTAAAGACCATAGCACTTTACAATGTCAAATTTACAAATTCACTGGAAAGAAAACTACATAAAAAATAATTAGAGTAGTCATTTAAATTCATTGACAGTGTATAAGAAAATGAGCTAAATGCTAAATGATACAAAACTTTCTACATTGCCTTCATCAAGCCTGCCCCCTTGCTTGTGCATGAAGCACAGAGAGCAAACTGCATTCTGAAAATTGTGTGTTGGTAACAGTGCACCCTTTAGTATTGTATGTCAAGTAGCTATAGCTATTAAGCACATCTGATGACAAACTTTGACAAAGGATCCGGCAGTTGTGCCAATCGATGCCAAAACAAAACACAAAAGAATTAGACCCTCAAACACATGATAGCGAAGCAAATGCACAGCCAGTAGCCCACTTTTAGAGGTTTTCTGCACTTGCCAAATAAGTAAGTATAATCACAAGCTGTAAGATAATCTGGCTTGTCACTATAGTTATCTGGCTGCATTGCTCACGCTTCAATATACTTGTAGGTGAAAAGAACATACAGGTATAATGAGCCTTAATAGTTTCCCAAATAAGGAACTACATAAAGTAATACATGTATACAATGTGGCATTGCGTATGCATTACATTGGGCTTAGTGTCTGTCAGGAGCAGAACACGATGGTTAGTGACAATGGTTAGTGACAATGGTCAGTCACATCCACAACAGTTGCTTTTTTCCAACCAAAGATGAAGTAGCCACACCCGGCACCAAGTATAACACCCAAGCATAGCCAGACGTTGTACGTCATGAAAATCAACATAAGAAAGTAGCTGATCACCATCTGAACCATATGTAGGAAAGTCTGTAGCAAGTGTGGCCAGCTCACTATCCTGTTCCTGTAGAAATAAATTTTGAAAAATAGAATGAATTAAAAGTTTGCACACACAGTTTACACAATGCACATTTAAAACCTAATAGCTCAGTGTTCTGGGTCAGAAACATTCCTTTATAAATGTTATGTGAAACAGAAATGCAGTTTAATTATTAAATAAGCATACGAAGTACATATTTAAGTAATTTTTTTTTTCATATGAAGAAAGAAAAGCAATGGCACTGATAATTAGGTGCTGAGGGATGGATTTACACAAGTTTAAGCACACAAATACAGAAAAGTAATACTTTACAGTCATGCTGTAAAAGTTTAAGCACACAAATACAGAAAAGTAATACTTTACAGTCATGCTGTAAAATGTCTCCAATCCCATAGCCATATATAACTAAGAAAAGGGCACAAAGAAGCGTTGCACCAAAGAAAAAAAAGAGTGTTAAATGCAACCACACTATACAAAATGCACCACTAGCAATATGTAGTCCAGTCATTAGCATGCAAAAAATAAACTTTTTAAAAAGCTGAAAAAACAACAAAAAAGATCCAACTACAATTTTTCAGGTATGCGAAAAAGATCAGCGAATATTTAGGATTCGAATCACTGAAGAACGCCAGGCCCTCTGAGCTTCCTTTGGTGATACGCTTCCTTTGCGAATCTAAATCCCGCATTTCAATGACCACACACACCCCAGAGACAGATGTTTGCAGGAGACAGGCCCGTAACTAGGAGGGGGTTGAGGGAGTTCTGACCCCCCCCCCCCCCGAAATTTTTTTGATGCTTTAACTTTTCGGGTGATACTAAAATGTTTACACGCCTTCACAGCGACCACCAGCTGCCAGTTACACTGCAACTTTCCTGGCATTGCTTCCCTCTTCTTCCTTTCTTCAAACCTACCCTTTTACCAGAACACCTCACCGCGTGCGGGGGAGGTGCGCTCCCTCTCCCGCACGCGCACCTGCCCTATTTGTACAGCTTTGCACTTCGCCCTCGCGTTCCTTCGAGTCTTTTTTTTTTTTCCGTCTTTCGCACCGTAGCAGCTCCTTTATTGATTTCAGATGCTTTCCTTGTGCATTGCCGCTGGAGAAGTTATCCGTCTGTGCGGACCGCACGTGTCGGCTTTGGGTTCCTACGAAAAGCCCGTCTACTTCTGTGAAGGTAAACAGTTCGACAGCAACGGCAACACCAACACGACGTGCGCAAGTTTGCCAGGGAACGAAACCCCTAAGCGTAAAAACTCAGCGGCGCATTCCGAGGACGCAGGCTGCAGGGCAAACTTTTCTCAAACTGTAGTCCTCGCCATCGAAACGAATCATCGAAGATGACATCTACTGAAAGACTGGCATATCCGAGCAACTTCGAACAACCTTAACCACACGCAAGGAAATCTACCTCTTCTGTACACAGAAGATATATGCGCCTCCCTACAAAGCGCACAAAGCGAGGATACAGCCGGCACACAATCCGGCACCAGCGGTCAACTTTCACAGGAGAAAAAAAACGCCGCCAAGCTGGGCTGCGCGCGGGAGTACAGAGGCTGACGTCACAGCCTACAAAGTGCATTTTTGGGGGATCACGGCTATTTAATTAGCGCAGCCCAGAGAGAATTATGCAGGCGCCCAGGGAGCCGTCTGTGAAAAGGTGACTTTTTCACAGGAACGGAGCAACACCTCCTTTCTGGACTGTACCACGGGCGTGCAAATGTCTCGGCAGTGCATTCTTGGGGGTTCACGTATATTAAGGGGAGTATGCAGTGCCCATGGAGTCTTCTGTGAAAAGGTCTTTAAGTAGCGTTAATCCAGTTTGCTGCAGCTGGAGTACAATAATGGGCCTGCATGCACACCAGCTGTAGCGGCGTTCAGAAAACACATGCGCCACGCGGGAGCCGGCGCGTTCATCACACTTCTACATTCTAGCCACTGTAAAGTGGATAAGAGAGGAAGAAAACATCACCCGCCGTTCACGCCAGGCAGTCGAAGCAGTCACAAACGTCTTTTTGGAGCCACTGGCCACTTCTGTGTGCGTGCACAGGATTGCGGCAGCAAAATGAAAAAACACTCTGCAACAACGAAGCAAAGGAGTCTCGCATCTTACTTCAAGAAAGTTCGAACCGATGAAGCGAACGGAGAAGAACCGCCTCCTTCGAAGGCTAAAACTTCGCCCTCCTCAGAACTGGTGGAAAGCCAAGCGCGTCCGAACTTCTGTAGCGACTCAGGAGAATGCACCGGTTTATATGAATCACCTGAGAACGAACACAAGCAGGACACCCATGCGCCGCTGGGAAATGATGGTCATCGCAGTGCAACTCCAAGTGATCTTTGTTCTACAGTCAATGCTGGGCAAAGTGACGGCTTTACCACTGGGCAATGCCCAAGGAAGGTGAGTGATATGGCACCTACACATTCTGGTTCGCCTCCCCTCTGTGCGACGAGTGCGAATATTTTCGACTTGGGACTGTTTGTCTCGAAAAGCAATAATGTAAATGATCCAGAGACGATGGAGAAGCTGCTGCTCAATCCGTGGACCCCTCCGGCTAACTATGATTATCCAGCCACACGGAAAAGGAATCTGAAGTTCCAACCTTACTGGGTAGATCGTTACCCATGGCTTGTTTATTCAGAGAAGCTTCAAGGAGCATTATGCAAATATTGCGTAGTCTTCGCAAGCAAGTGTGCAGGAAAAGGGGAGCACCAGCGCTTGGGCTGTTTTGTAACTAAGGAGTTCACCAAAACAAGAAAGCCATGGACGCCTTTAAGAGCCACGCATCCAGCAGTTATCACGCCATGTCAACAACGCTATCGGAGAACTTTTTAGCAGTCCGGTCCCGCTCACAGCATGACATCTTAACACAACTTGACCACGGCCTTAAAAAGCAGGCGGAAGAAAACCGCAAGAACTTGCTGCCAATAATAGAAACAATCCTTTTCTGTGGCAGAAGTACCTCTTCGCGGCACAGACGACTCTGGTCCGATAAATATGTCTGAAGTGCTGCCATTCAAAAATGATGGAAATTTCCGCGCACTGCTTAGGATGAGAGCAAAATGTGGAGATGCCGCCTTGAGAGCTCACATGGAAACATCTCCAGCGAATGCGCTGTACACGAGCCCAAAAATTCAAAATGAGTTGATCACCCTCTGTGGTAAAATCATACAAAGAAAGATAGTGGAAAACGTCAACTCAGGTTTGTGTTTTTCAGTTCTAGCTGACGAGGCCACTGATATAGCTCGCACCGCCCACATTTCCCTATGTGTAAGGTACGTTGGACACGACACATCGAGAGTGCCCATTCTTAAAGAAGATTTTGTAGATTTCGTTCCCGCGTACGATCTCACTGGCAAGGCGCTGACGAGCACAATCCTGAACAGCTTTAGAGGTCATGGCTTTGACCTGAACCTACTTTGCGGGCAAGGATAGACGACGCGGCATCAATGAGCAGCCACCTTAACGGTGTTCAAGCCTTCATTCGTCAAACAGCACCCAAAGCGTTGTACGTGCATTGTAGCGCCCACTCGTTGAACCTTGCTCTGCTTCACGCATGCAAACTCCCCGGCATCCGCAACTGTTTGGGAACTGTATCCTCAACCTGTACGTTTGTGAGAGCTTCGCCACAGAGGACGAACCAACTGCAAGACAAAGTAGAAGATTTAACACAAGAAAAAAGAAAATCAGTTCTCTCCTTTTGCCAAACAAGGTGGGTAGAGAGTCACGATGCACTTCAGCGTTTCCTTGAACTGTACGTGCCTATTGTACAATTCCTTGAATATTTGGAAGAAGAGGCCGTGTCATCTGATACTTCATCAAAAGCTTCTCAAATGCTCAATGCCATTACAAAGCCCGAGTTTGTCGTTTCGCTTCAGATCTGTAGCGACCTCTTCTCTTTGACACTGCCACTTTGCAAGTTTCTTCAAAAAATTGACTGTGACTTGGCTCAAGCGTGCGATCACGTAAAGAATGTTATAGACGTTCTTTCCACAAAAAGGGCTAGTGCGGAAACGGAATTTAATAAGATTTTTCTGAAGTCGCTCTCTTTGCTGAAGATCACAAATGTTGAGATGGCCCTACCACGCATCACTGGAAGGCAGATGCAAAGAAGCAACGTACCTTCTGCTACTCCCGAAGAGTACTACCGGAGGAATGTGTATTTGCCTTTGCTGGCTGACTTCGAAAATCAATTAAGAGACCGATTCGAAGCCCATAAGAAGGTCGTGGTTGGCCTTAACATGCTGCTGCCGAAATTCTGTGCATCGGCTAGCCTTTCTGATATTGATGATGCAGTGCAGTTTTACCTTGGCGGCATTCTTTCAGCTAATGTCATCGAAGCAGAGTTCACACTGTGGGTGAACAAATGCTGCCAGATCGAAGAAAAGAATCGCCCAGCTTGTGCTTTACAGGCCTTAGAGATGTGCAACCGCGACTCTTTTCCGAACATCCACTGCCTACTTTCTATCCTGGCGACTTTAGCCGTGTCGACGTCGACCCCGGAACGAACTTTTTCCACACTGAGAAGGCTGAAGAGCTACCTTCGAAATCATATGAACAACGACAGATTGACCGGACTAGCACTGCTCAGCATCCATCAAGAACTTCAAGTGACCCCAGAACAAGTCCTCACAGAATTTTGCAAGTTGCCGAGAAGGAAAAACTTCCTCGTTTAAACTTCCCTCTATGTTTCAAGAGTCGATTAAAAGCTAAACCCAGCTAGCCCAAGCTTCAACCCTTCTATCCTTTCGCAATTACGAGGAAACTATCCAGCAAGCAGAATGTGCGAACGGTAACAAGAAGATCGGAATGTCGGGCGACTTGTTTGCTTGCTTGCATACATGCTGTCACGGACTGCCATTTTTGCGACCCGGCGTAACGGCAAATTAACGGGCGCCGCACTCTCCCGCTGACCGGTGGAACCGTTCGCTCATGAAAAGACTGGCCTTTAGTGCAGGGAAGTACTGAATGGGGTGTTCTTCTTCAAACGTTAGTCGCCGATGTTTGATCCTTTGTACCTACGGCGGCGTCGGCAGGGTCGTCAAAGGCCGCGATGCACCCCGTACTAGCTGTAGACTGCAAGACGCACCTGCTGAAACCAAGGAAACTAACCATTTCCACTGGCAAAACTGCTTGTGGACAAGCCGTATGAGAGAACCCCAACAGGTTGTCACTCTCGCTCAGTTGAGGACCCTCTCCTAATTAAAAAGGGACGTGGTCAATATATTTTTAGGGTGGAGTTTCTAACAATGAAACGTGCATGATTGGACCCATGTAGAGGTCTCTTTTCCCCCAGGACGAGAATCAGGGGACACGGAGGTCGATTTAAGAGCAGGATTTCGCCTTGCTAAGCAGTCTAGTTGCTGACCAACATGGTGTAGAAGGAGATCAAGAAGTATCCCTTAAGTGGTTGTGGCTCCATGTAGGCTGGCCAGCTAAACTTAGCCATTCGTCTAGTTGTGACGCGAAATTAACGTCTGTAACGTAGGCATCGGTACTTGAATCTCGAGTAAGCTCAACCTGCCCGAGATCGGCTTCAAGCACTAGCCTCCCGGAAACACCAGCGCTGCAACACCGCCGACATCGCAGTTGTGCCAGAACTCTCTCTGACTTCTCGCATCCGATCGTCATGGACTCAACGCTGCCGGTCATCACAGGTATCCCTTCACCTGTTTATACCTTCGGACTTTCTCATCTGTAGTTATATTGTTGGTTAGTTTTGTGTAGTTTGTAATACTTCTCTCTTGTAAGCTGATTTATTGATTTTATATGTATTTTGTTAGTTGGTATTAAGTGTTGTAGTAGATTCCTCTGCAATATTCCCAGATTCCTCTGCAGTGCTGCAATATCACTAGAGTTTTGTTTTTCCCCACATACGTCTCTGATCTCTTCACTGTCTCTGCTTACGTACGGAACGACCTAACCTGCTGCCATTCCCGTCGCCGACTTCGCGCTGGCGACGCTAGAGTGGCAGCTTGTAACACATACATACCGTTTTTGTACTGCGGTTACATTGTGTTACTTCATCAGGAGCCGTTGGTCGCGGTGTCCCCGGCTTTGGTGGTGCTATTGTCCAAACTTATTTCTTGCTTTAACCAGAATTTGAGGTTGACATACCAATTTCTTTATTTGGGTACAAATAATTGAAAAGAACCATCGAATTATTACAAGTAAGTGATGTACTTGTTTTATTCACGAAAATAAGCCAGTATAAATTTTAAAAAATGGCAGCCGTTCTACACGCAACCCCCCCCCCCCCCCTGAAAAAAATTCCTGGGTACGGCCCTGGCAGGAGACAGGATCCATGGCAAATGGGCATTTTTATTGTGTTAATACATCAATTTAATGCTTTCAATTGAATAGATATCTGTGTGCACAACAATTATAATAAAATGAAATGTTTTAATTATATGCTATATGTATTCCCCTAACAAGAGGGAATACAGTCCTTTTCCTGCTAACCTCACTTCCTTGCTGAAGAACTCTTGCTAAATAGCGCATGCTAAAAAGCTCACACAAACTGAAATATTTTGCATGCTGCATGACTGACAGTTATAACACCTGCATGTAGTGATAATATGGCCATATACCAGTGCCAGAATAACTGCTGACAAATTAAGAGTTGACTGCAGTGGAAAAAGTGGAGAAAAGGTTTATATAATGACTGACTAAAATCAAACCTTCTTTGCTACAAAAGCAGTGCGCACAGAATGAATGAAAAAGACTAGCACAATAAAGAACAGTGAAAGGATGGGTGCAGCTTCACAGCACATGTTGTGTGACTAGTCTGTTCATATTTTGATATTATCATTCTACAGCCAATTGCAATACAAAAGCCAAGCTCATAGAACTTGCTCTGTTGTTTGTCTTCCCAACTTTCCTATTGTGTTGCCTTTGCTATCACAGTTTTAATATCAAAGCAAAAGAAGGCATGAATTTTTTACATGTTGAACCAACAAAAGAGAAGGAAGTCAAACAACAGAAACTTCCTCTGTCCACCATCAAGATGACCAATCAAAAGATGTGGAGCCGTGAAAATGCTGCTGGTTCAGACATCCAGCAGCATTTTCACGCAATGATGAATGTCATTTTGAAAATCACAATAACGGGAGAGGTCTTTGAATATGTATTAGACAAGCATAGCCATAATGAGACGTGATTTTGTGAATGTAGCAGAAATTCATTGCTGTTACAACAAGGATTTGTATACGGCAAGCAAGAGAAAGGATAGTCTGTTCTGCTGAAATTTGTATGGATGTACAAAAACGCTACTTCGACTTCCTCTACAGAGGCACCCCACAGAGGAAGCCTTTTACGTTTTGTTGTTTTCACAACGTACAAAGGTTTAAAAATTGTGTACAGAGCTAACCACCAAGAATAATAGAACATGACACAACATTTTACTGATCTTGCCACCACAGATGCCATGCATAGGACCTATTAGTGTACAAACCTGACTATTTGATGGACCTCCGTCAGAGTGCGACCATCGCGGCCTGTCACAGACACGGATGAGTAGCTCATGCTGGAGAAATGCAGCCTGAAGAGATGCTCGCGGAAATACTTGAGGGCCTCATACAAGGCAGCCATGAAGAAAACTCCAACCACAGAGCCAACCATTCCTGGAAACGTTATACAAACATTAGTGTACTCTACTCATGTCTACTATAACAGCATATTTTTGTACATGCGCAGGCGTTGTACTTGAATATACAATTCAGCGAGGGCTTTCTGTTGATATAACAGTCTATAGGTCTAAGCAACGCTACTATAGGTGGATGATGCAGCACATAATAAACATAGCATACCTATTCAAAAATGACCCCATGTTACACATAGGAACAGCGTTCTGTTTGGACAATAGGTTGCCTGACCATGCCGAATGTGGGAACAACCAAAACTGCTTTGTCTATGAGACCCTTAGTGGCATCGATTTATTGGCAGAGTGATTACCAGCAGCTCTCAAGGAAGGATCAAGGTGGCTATCAGCATGAAACATAGCTGAATCAACTCAGGGACTGGCCGAAGTTATAAATGACATGCTGGCAATGCACAAAAGGGACAAGAGAACCTGGAAACTGTCAAAACACATTACCAGGCACATGCACATGGTGCCAAACAACAGCAACAAGGTTGGCCATCACAGCTTTTCATGTCAGCACTTTATGGCTGCCCAGAAAGTTTCACTAGTAAGCTCATAGCCTGTGTAGTTATTAACTGCCCCCTTGATGACAAGATACAGATGACTGCTGGGGCTATGCAGTCGACTCCTCTTAAACAGAACTCTAACGATATCCATAAAACTGTTCCATTTATCAGGAGTTTCATTTAAGCAAAGTACACTTATTTAGTGAATCAAAACCTTTATTCAAACTGCACAAAAACTCACCTTACTCATGAGGATGAATAAGAGAAAAAAAGGAGTAAGGGTGGTTTGTTTGGCAAGTTCGAGTTGTTTTTTCACAAGGTACGCACCCATGCCTGACAAACTAGCCAGAAATTCTGGACAAGCCTCATGCTCAAAATATCGCTGCAAAAGTTCAACAGCCTCTTTAGCTGATCAGTCTGGTGGCACCACTGCACTGGCAATATTGTCATCACATTCATCGCTGGAAGGTTGATCATCATTGCGCTGCAGCAATCATTTCCTTGACAGCGTCCTCACGACAGGCACGAACATTTTCATCAATTAATTCGTAGTCCTGCAACGTGAAAGAGGCAGAGAGCACGACCTCACTGAATACTGTCTCAATGTCGGCATCAGCAGGGCATTCTTCTTCAGGTACTGCTTCTTGCACTTGAAAGCCAGCATGATGAAAGCATCTGTGTATTGTTGTTGCTTTCGCTTGCTCCCAGGCACGAGCCAAAATGTGGATGGCTGCCAATAAATCTATGCTGTAGCATTTTTCGCTGTCTGCACAAAGCAGCATTTGATGGAGCAAAATTGTCTGCGGTAATGAACTTTAATGTTCTGAATAACCCTTTGATCCATCGACTCAATCACTGCCGTTGCATTGGCTGGCAAGAACTCCAGAGTGATGGCTTGGAGTCTTTCAACCTGAACGTGGGCTGGGCAATTATCCACGATGAAGACAACCTTCCTGCCTTGCCTCGTAAATTTTGCGTCTTCCTCTCGTAGCCAGTTTTCGAAAATTGCCATGGTCATCCACGCTCTTCCGTTCACATGGTCTGCAACAGGAAGTGTCAAACACCTTTGAAACAACGTGGTTGCCTTGATTTTCCTATTAGTACCAACATCTTCAATTTCTCATCTCCTGCCATGTTTGCACCCACCAGCACAGTGATGCAATCTTTACTGCATTTTCCTTTACTACAGGCTTCGCCTTATAAAAAAGACCCATCTCGTCCACAATGAAGACGTCTCGTGGCTCAAAGCTCATCAAAATTTCCTTGCGCCGCCCCTGTTGCCAGTCGATGCAAATGTCCCTGTTGACTGCAGCACTCTCACCTGAGATTGCTTTGAAGACTAGGCCATGGCGTGTTTTGAAGCGGCTGAGCCATCCACCGCTTAGGACGAAGTTCTCAACACCCATTTGCATGGCGATCTCGAGCTTTCTGCTCGAGAACTGATCCACTTATGGGCAAATTGGAACTTCGTGCATGCTTGAACCAGAGAAAAAGAACTTTTTGAAGTTGTTCATAAGGCGTCGTCCGCATCCGTATTCGTTTAGATGTAAAGGTCCCGTTATTTACAGCGCCTTCAATCTTTTCTCTGTCTTTGCAGATCCGCGACAGCGTCAATTTCAGGATGTTATATTTTTTTGCCACCTCAGTCTTGGGCAAGCCACTTCGATCAAGCTCCTGAAGAATTCGCAGCTTTTTTTCAAGCAACAGTGCATTGTGCGGCCGCTTCCTTTCCACCTGGCTGACATAACACCGTAATGCACCGCACTTAGCCGTACAAATAGGCCTAACACACAACTGACTCACCGACTCGACTCCCACAGCCACCACAAGTGAAAATAGCTACTGGATTGGCTTATTTCGAGGTGTTGCCATGGTTGCGAGACTACCTTTGGCGTGAACGAGCCTATGCTACGTTTAGAGTTTGTGCCGTTTACCCGTAGGTGACCGATAACTACTTTTTCGATTAACCGATGAATTTTACTGCACAACACATAAAAATCCAGCCACATGAGCCCGTCTAGTTCCGTTAATGAGGCATTTTCGTTTAAGCGAGTTTCGTTTATTGGGAGTCCACGGTCTGTAGAAATCTTAGAAACTAAGAAGAAACATTTTCAGACTAGGTAATCAAGTATTGACAACAACACAAGAAAAATACTGCAGTCCTGGTAATATTACATGATCTTTGAAACTTCCTATGGCTGCACGATTGTGCTCACTCAGGCAACAATGTGTAACGGTGCCCAGTTTCATCATGGTACACGTGTTAGACAGCATCCCGCTGTAGTGTGATGGCAGGACCTCACCACTGTATCACTTTTTTTTTTTTTTTCAGTACTCGGATATTATCCTGCATACGGTTTACTTTTAACTTTTTTTGCACAAAATAAATCTCAACCTCAACCAGGAATTTCATCAAAACATGCCCATAGCAAGTCTTATTTGTCCAGGAATTTTATTTCACCCAAGGAATGCCAAAGACAGTGGCACCAATTTTCTCCTGTTGCTCTGAAAGCTTTGTCACTAAATGCCAAAAGCTCGTTCAAAAAGTTTGCAGATGCAGTTAAGATTCATCTTCCCTGGGTTTAAAAAACTGAAGCAAGCTATAACCACGACTGCAGCGCCTTCTCTGGGCTATAATGCAGTATTGGGTTGTTTTCCAGCCAAAGTGGAAAAAGAAAGTGCTTGAAACTGTACTTCGGACACAAAAGCATCAAGAATTTATAACAGTAATACAGCACAGTAAATGAAGACAGATCAGCCACCTTTCATAACAAACAAAATTTTGAAATAGTTCTCTTTTCTAATCACAATGCCCATGAGATATTAGGATTTACCTACAGAAAAATAATAGACAGGAGAGGAAACTTGACTTCTTCCCAAGCCCCGACAGTGTCCCCCCCAGGGAGTGGCAGCGAACATCATGACAGTGCCACCAACAGAACCGCCGTTGAACTGCTGCGCGGAAGCGGCAGACGCAAGAAGTGTTGAGCTCACTCTTGTCATCTGCTTGCGCACTTGTGCTCGAGCTTCGCCCTTGCAGTCGGTGACAATATCAGTGCATAGCTCAAATACACTCACTAAATGAAATAACAAACCGTTACGTTTTTTTGCTAAGCTAGCCAGAGTGCTGTGAGAGAATGATCATATCACGATGGTCTCACAAAGCTGTCCACAAGGTCTAAACAAGTTCGCTTTCACTCTTTTATCTTCTTATACTAGAGCAAAAGCTTTATTTATGAAAACATGTCATACAACATGAGATAATGAAGAAAAATACATGCCATGGAGCCTTCCTCAAAAACGTGAACAACAGAGATTTTTAGATATTTAGGAAAAATTTTAAAATCCAAAGGAAAAAAAGCCAAAGAAGTCATTTTCATGTGTCTGCACTCTTCTAAAGTCTGTTTTCTTTGGAACTTCATGAGAACCATTTGCAAGTACTTTTGACTCTTAATGCATATTCTCTACATTTGCTCATTTGGTGCTGATTTATTGGTAATTTCAGGGATATTCCAGCCCGTTCTCGGCTTTATTTGTAGGCACAAGTAAAAGCTTTTTCAGAAATGCTAGGTACTGCTTCAAGGAGCAACAAGAACTTTGGCTGGTCAGGGATGTCTGAGCATTTAAACTTCGCATTGTATCACACCTTCTGACCATCCCACAACGAAAATAATTTTTCTAGATGTAGTCACTTGTTTTCAGTTCTCAATCCCTTTTCATATAGCCCTTGCCTATTCGTTTACCTGTTCTTGGTCAGACGCTAGAGCATTGCAAGTTCAAACGTTCTTTCTACAAAGCATTGATTCACAGATCTAAGAACGTAAGACTCGGCGCTACTATCCCATCGGGTGCCGTCTGCTCAAACGTGCTTCAGAAATCTGTGTTGTAGTCCTGTATCACACTGATTGGCATTTTTTTACGGTGCATGCTAATGAGCTACAACAAAAGCTTGTCTTTCGGTCTATCGAAGAAAGAGCAAAATCTATCCCCAAGCTATAAAATGAGTGATTTCAGGCATGTGCCTAGATACAATTACGGATCATCTGCGTTTTAAATTACGCCACTTTCTTCCTTTTGGTGTCGTCCAAAGAGCATTTAATGCAATATAAAAAATGCTGGCTCTAACATGCTCTATTACACATGATTCATTTCGTTTTCGCAAACCACGCTGGCAACAAACTCTTACAGCTGCATTCGGACATGTAGTGTAATCGGCCAGTAGCTGATGTAGCAGACGACACCCTGATTTTGCTCGAGCGCCATCAAAGACCGTGGTTGCCCGCGCTCTTCTACCGCAGCGAAAAACAATAGGTGCGTGCATCGCTGCAAGGACTGCTGTGCACACGTTTGCCAACCTCCTCTCCCAAGGTGACATTATCGCACCGCACGCTGACGCTGGTGCCGGCCAGAAGTTTTTCCTCCCGTCCTTCTTGCACCTTGGATAATATACCCCTATACTACAAGTACTTTTTTACTAGATGTGTAAAAAAACACATAAAATACCGAATGTCAAAACAACAGCTCTTGCACTCTACAGGAAAAACTGTCTATGCAAATGCAGAGTCTTCTGAGTGATTGTGGTGTAAGAACAGGTCACTATGTGAAGTAATGGCCACTACAGAGTAGTAGCATGTTTAGGTTTCAGCAGCCAGGAATTTGCTGCTTAATTTCAACAGAGCAAATTTATTTTATTTGGTCAATCTCCCCATTTTAGGTGTTTTAGAAACAATCTGCTGAGCTACAGTATAGCACACTCTGCTCCTTCAACGAGCATACAGTCTATACATGTACACGTGGCATGCTTTTCTTTCTTTTTCTTTGCTTTTTCAATTACTGTTACTCTTGCGACTTCACCAGATATGACTGCCTTCTCTTTATTTTTTATAAACAACATTTTTACTTGGCCCAACATTATGTAGTTAATGGCATTACATATACAAAATGATGTAAACGAGGTAAGTAAACTTTGTTGAACTTCTCATTTGTTTTTTTAATTACAAACAAATATTTGATGTCCAGTTAGCAACTCATATCCCAAAACGTCATTTTTCTTTAGTATATATATTCGGTCTGATAATTTCATTATTCCAGTACCCTTAATCTTCGAACTTTCTTCAAAACGGTGAAACTCGGTGAAATTTTAAATTTTAAATCTCTTCTTCTGACTGCTTCAATTGTACTGAAGAAGCAAGAACTAAACATCTAAGCAACTAAGTAATTGGCGCTTCAAAAGAAGAGCCGTCTATTAGTGTTGCACTTTTCTTAGTAATAAGTACCTGCAACAGAAGAGACAGCCCAGTCTTTGAAGAGTATGGTCTCAGTGAATCCTGTGTGGAAATACTGAAAAAACAAAAAATTGTAAGAAAATGAATGCGTGGAAGAACACAAGAATTTCGAAGTTTAGAAATTTTCACATACTATCAAACCACAAAACAGAACAGAAAATGAACTACTTTTGCAGAGTTCTATGGAGCATTTTCATATTTACTGCCCTTGCTCTTAATGCACAGAACATATACCGTATAAACCGGAATATAAGTCAAGATATATTCAATAAAACAACGAGCTAAAGTTGCCCCTCGTCTTATATAGCGGTGTCTAGCCGACAGTGCACCGCTGTCTGGCAACATGTGGCTTTCATGTGCATGAGAAGCCGGACACGGCCATATTCGCATTCAAATCCAATAGCAGGTTGTTTTTTTTTTCTCTTGTCTGTTTCTTTGGGTTTGTGATTTGCCTTTGAAGTTCTCGCTCCACTTGACATTGTGTTTCATATTTAGTGGTCTTTTTTCGTTCACTGAATATGAGTAGCGGTACGAGAAGCCAGTGCTCAGCTGTGTTTAAACTAGAGGTTGTTGAGTTCGCAGAAGTGAATGGGAATATGGCTGCTCAGCGCCGCTTTGGTGTATCAGAAAAAAGCGTGCGCTATTGGAGGCTGCAGATGTGCAATTTTCGGAAAATGTCATTTCGTGGGCGAAGTGTGGTTCATCCGCAGCTGGAGAATACGCTAGGGAACTTTGAGTGGGAAGTTCTTGCGTCCCAGACAACACTCGATGTCCTGAGGTCATCCTCATATGGTACAATCGTCCTCGCACAGTTTTCATCGACCTTAGTAATTACTGAGGACAACACAAGCTGGTTTGCCCCGGAAACGTCTTTTCGAGTGCTTTCTGAGGACAACAATTGGTCCAGAAAAGGTCCTGTTAAGGATCCTTTGGGGATGACAAAAGCATTGCACTGAGCACTTAGATATAATTCCTGAAGACCTTTGCGTACCAAGTAGATGCATTTCATACGTGAACATTTTCTCCACAATTTTGTTTCTTACAGTCATAAAGTTATTGTATATTTTTGCCTCGTTTTTTTTTTTTGCAGAAAAATTTCAATTTATGCGTTGCGCTTAATGAGACACACATAATCGATTGGCTTAGGTATCGAACCTGATATTGCGAAAGGTCCATTTGAAACAGTGTGTTCTTAAAGTCACAGCCTTAAATCAGTCATTATACGCCGCTGTAGCGCGTAATAACAAACTAGCAGCTGGCAACCATTGACTATGCGGCACCATTCTAGATAGTCAAGTTGCCAAGCCATTCCAAGCCAACTGACTGTCAAAATGGCAGTGGCGGCCCTGTCAGGAAAAGTGCAGTGAACTAGTGAAGGTTCGGGTCCTTTGTTGTTTGTGTGCATGGTTAAAAGTGAGATATGCGTGAGAGTGTAAGTCGTAGGTGATGACGGTAAGTAAATTGCCGTGTTGATGGGTGCACTGGGCTGCTCAGCGTTCAGACTGATCATGGATGCATTGTCACCAGCCGACTGTGGCGAGGTGTGGTTCGAAGCAGCCTGGAACAACAGCCAATCGCGATCAATTGGGCTTCGAAGCAGCCTGGTCCCAATGTGAAAGGATTGACTTTTGCATCTGACACATGGCCCGACCTCGGGAAAGTCAAGTCAATGCCCGTGTCGAGTGTACTGATAGCCTGTCAGAGCGGAGCCTCAAACACTAGTGAGTGCATTGGGCGCGATATACGTGATGATGAGGACACTGTGTCAAACTTTCGAAAAGATTACAAACGTAGTTGATTGAGCTGTGTTGACTGTCTTGATACTGCTTTTCTTTTTTCGGACTATACACGTACTCGAATGCCTGACAAAGCTGTCAGTTGTGATTAATTACTGTTAAATAAATAAATTTCAGTCAACAAGCTTTGTTTTACTCTAATAGTTTAGTACTGTCACCTCTCTGTTGATTGATATATACTCGAGACCTCGCAGGTGTTTTTCTTTTGATGTATGGAAATATCATGAAAAGAAGTAAATCCTAAGTAGTACCACTGCCCACAGTACTGAACCAGCCACGCTATCGTTGTTCTGAAAAGATACTGAAAAAGTCCTGAGTTGTTGTTTTGAGGATGTGCTGAGGTTGTTATGTGTATGGACAAGGGGACGGGATTAGCGCCTTTCTAGTACCATAAGAGGACATTCTGAGGGCGTCATATTGTCCTCACGGAGGCATACTGAGGACGTCCTGAGGTTGCGTTTGTGTTGTCTGGGGTGCTCACTGCCAGCGAACGTAGATACCACTCTCAAGAAAGCTGTGGAATTCGCTCAAGAAGCTGGGCTCCCGAGATAAGAGTTTCGTGCACCAAACTCTTGGGTGCGTCGATTCATGAGACGCAAAAAATTTTATTTCCGGTGGCGCACATCCATCAGTCAGAAGTTTCCAGACGAGTTCGAGGACAAGCTTATAAACTTTCAGGGCTTGATGAACTGGCTTCGGGAGCAGAACAACTACATGAAGGGGCAGATTGACAATGCCGACGAGACCCCCCGTGTGGTTTGACATGCCTTCATCGACCATGATCATGCACCGTGGCGCCAAGGATATGAAGCTGTTGTCCACTGGCAACGAGCACTCGCGCTTCACCGTCAAGCTGGCATGCATGGCAGATGGTAGAAAACTTCCACCCTTCATCATTTTCAAACGTAAGACAATGCCGAAGAAAGTGTTCCCGCCCGGTGTTGTCTTTTGCGTCAACAAAAAGGGATACATGGACGAGGCCATGATGCTCGAATGGATACGAGTAGTGTGAAATTGTGAAATTGTCAGCCAAGTGCATTGCTGCGTCTTTGCAGCATGCTGGTGTTGGATGCGTTTTGTGGTCACTTAACCGACACTGCGAAGTGCGCATTGGGCGATGAAAAAACGGACCTCGTCGTGATACCAGGTTTTATGACGTCCACCCTCCAACCGATCGACGTTGTGCTAAACAAGCCGTTCAAGGACCGAGTGTGGCTGGAGTACCAAAAGTGGATGTCCGGCGACAACCCAAAGACACCGACGGGCCACCTACAGAGGCCTCAGCTTGCGACTGTTCGTGGCTGGGTGCTTTCCGCCTGGCGTTCCTTGCCAGATTCCATGGTGAAAAATGCTTTTAAGAAATGTTCCATCAGCAACTCGCTGTAAGGCACGGAAGACAACGCACTGTGGGAGGCAGCCAGCGACAAACTCACGTCTTCAGAAGACAGTGGTGCTTCGTCTGACAAATAGGAACAGTTGCGATGGTGGTTAAGGGGAGCTCCGACGATCGGGGTGCGGTGTGCTCAATTCGCAAATAAATGTTGTTCGACAATTTTGGGTTGTTTTCCTTTTTTTTCTTTTTAGGTAACCTGAACTTCGGGGGTCGACCTATATTTCCACTCGACCTATAATCCGGTTTGTATGGTAGTTGATCGATTTTATCCACTCTGGGGTGTCATGTGGAAAATCCACAATTTAGTAATGAGGCACAACATAGTTGGAGACTCCGAACCTCTGTTTCTTAAATGTACACCTAAGTTTAAGTACACAGGTGTCGTTGCACTCTGCATGTATTGAAACGTGACTGCCGTGGCTAAGAATTGAACCCACGTCCTTGTGCTTAGCAGCTACCATAGCAGTACAGCTACCATAGCAGATTAACATAACACTATTGATAATGTACCATTACAAGAATTACACTTTAACTGCAATCAAGTGACACTTTGATCTAACCTGTGGTGTACAAATGTTTCCAATATATTGTCACGGGGTCGTGACGTGGCCGAAGACAGGAGACTTCGTGTTAGGATTTAACTGTTTATTTGGGCGAACCTGTGCCCGGTAAACTGAAAGTCCAATTACAGCAGCAGTCTCGCACAGATAGCAGTCTCGGACTGATAGCGGCGAACGGAGCGTCGGCCTTCGATCAACCACTGACAAGCGGCGAAGCGCGTCGGCATTTATACTCCCGCCGTCGAATGTTCTAGCATTATCGCTGGCGGTGGCGTAGCTTCCAGAACAATCTGTACCGTTCGCACAGTGGGCGTGATCTTATCGAAATGATCTACTACAGTCCGGAACATTCTAGAAACCTGCAGGCGTGGTTTGCGCCGAGAATCGTGTGGTGTTTCGGAACGATAACAAAAACTTAGGAAATGAAACGTGGCATTGCCCCCCTCTGAAAAAAGGCATCGTCCCGATGCTTTAACTAAAGATGAAGGTACAATAATAATGCAAGAAAGTACAATGAATAAATTACAATACAACAATAATACAAAAAAAAAACACTGTTTCAGTTTGTTAACGTGCATGAAACGGCTTGAGGCGCGCGACATGGACGACTTCAGGTCGCGATCGGCGTCGTTGAGAGTTCGTGATGCCGTCGGGGACAACCTCGTAATCAAGTGGGCCGAGACGTCGAACCACCCTGTACGGTCCGAAGTACCGTCGCAGAAGCTTTTCACTTAGTCCACGTCGGCGTATCGGCGTCCACACCCAAACACGTTCACCGGGCTGGTATTCCACGAAGCGTCGTCGAAGGTTGTAACGGTGGCTGTCGGTCGTCTGTTGATTCTTGATACGGAGCCGCGCAAGTTGTCGGGCTTCTTCGGCGCGATGAAGGTACTCGCTCACATCGAGGTTTTCTTCGTCGGTGACGTTGGGTAACATGGCATCGAGCGTCGTTGCCGGGCTCCTTCCGTAGACCAATTTGTATGGAGATATCTGCGTCGTCTCCTGCACCGCCGTGTTGTATGCGAAGGTCACATACGGAAGAATGACATCCCACGTCTTGTGTTCGACATCGACGTACATTGACAGCATGTCGGCGATCGTCTTGTTAAGCCGCTCGGTGAGGCCGTTGGTCTGTGGGTGGTACGCTGTCGTCCGGCGGTGGTTTGTTTGGCTGTATGCCAAGATCGCTTGAGTTAAGTCGGCAGTGAATGCCGTTCCTCTGTCGGTGATAAGGACCTCCGGGGCGCCGTGACGTAGGACGATATTTTCGACGAAGAACTTAGCTACCTCGGATGCACTGCCTTTT